GATAGACCCTCCTTTGCTTGGAGGAGCATACTTCATGGTAGAGATCTCCTACATCTTGGTCTTAGAAAGATGATTGGTGATGGGGAAGATACATTTGTTTGGACTGCTCGATGGATTTTGGATGGTGTTATGAGAGCCCCACTCATGAGAAACATCATTTTTGATTTGGATATGAAGGTAAAAGATCTGTTGGATCCAATTGCTGGTACTTGGGATTTGGAGTCTTTACATGAGCATTTCTTCCCCAGAGATGTTGAATTGATCTTAAAAATCAAACCGGTCATCTCCTCTGAAGATTTTCACGTTTGGGAACATACTAAGAGTGGAGAATACTCGGTTAAATCTGGTTATTGGTTTGCTTTTCAAAGAGAAAAGGCTGATTTGATTTGTGAGTTTCAAATGCAGCCTTCCATCCAACCGATTAAAGACTTAATCTGGAAAAGTATCACTCCCACTAAAATCAGGAACTTCTTGTGGAAAGTTATTAGTGGTGCTGTCCCTGTGGTTGATAAAATGATGAGTCGTGGACTTAAAGTGGACTCAAGATGTCAGAGCTGCGGGCATGAAGGTGAATCTTCAAATCATGTGTTATTTAACTGTACGGTAGCAAGACAGATTTGGGCTATGTCAAACTTTCCCTTTCCTGCTGAAGGTTTTGACTCTCATTCTCTTTACCACTTCTTCTATCTCTTTGTATCTGCCAAAAATAATCTGATTCCTTTGGAGACTAGAAGATCTTTTCCATGGATTTTGTGGCAGCTTTGGAAAAATAGGAACCGGTTTTTCTTTGAAGGAAGAAGGTTTGTGATTACTGAAACGGTTGCTAAGATTAAAGAAGATGCTAATCAATGGTTTTATGCTCAAATGCTTGAGAACAGAGAGAACTTGTTGGAGCAGACTGTTCCGGCTCCTGTTAAAGTGAAATGGGTTCCTCCTCCTCATGATTGGTTAAAATGTAATGTTGGATCATCATGGGACAGAACTGGAAGAATTGGAGGAGCTGTGTGGGTTCTTAGAAATGAGTTTGGAGAGGTGTTGTCTCATGTTAGAAGGTCCTTTGCAGAGGTGAATAGCAAACTCGACGCTAGCATTGTTTGTTGGCAATGGGCTTTGGAGAGTATGAAAAGCCTAAATGTTGACAAGATAATTTTTGGTTCTGAGGACAAGGAACTCATAGGTGCTGTTTTAAGACCACCTGCTTGGCCCTCTTTTAAGTTTCAGGGCATTCTTTTGACTGATCTCTTAAGGAATTTTTTGGTTTGGAAACTGGTTGGTGAAGAAAGGAGCTCAAATCTTGGAGCTCATCTAATAGCCAGAAGTGTAACAAAAGAGGATCGCCGCCAATCGTACGTAGTAACCAGGTTTCCTCTATGGTTAAAACATCTTTTTGAAAAAAAAAATAGTATTGTTTAGTGTAATACTCATTGGGGTTGATTTACAATGATTGTCTTGGATCCGTTACCCATTTTTATATGATTGCTCGTAATCATGAAATATATATCAATCTTTCAGGGAAAAAAAAAAAAAAAAAAAAACTACTACCCCATTCAAGGACTTAATTATATTTTTATCTGTCTGTATCGCGAACCTGTCGGCTTGAAGCTATCTATAAGAAAAATAGTAATCTAACATAATAAATCAAAAGTTTTTGGTGTAAATAGAAAGATACTATTCTTGTCGGGGCCATTGGGGTAATAATCAGACAATTAAATATCTTACAAAAAAAACAAAAAGAATTGAAAAGAACAAATTATTAAAATGCAAAGACTGGCCAATCGGATAAGAAGAAACTGTAAGAAGAAGTTGAAGCAAAAAAAAAAAAAAAAAAAAACTAATTAAGAAACAAACAAATTACAAATGGAAAAAGTTTTCTCCGACGAAGAAATCTCCGGTAACCATCATTGGTCGGTTAATGGAACGACGGCGATGAATCGTAGTGCCTCCGAATGGGCATTCCATCGTTTCATACAAGAATCTTCTGCCGGAGAGTCTACGACGGCGTGTGGTGTTTCCGTCTCTTCTCCTCCGAATGTTCCTGTTGATTCAGATGAATACAGAGCATTTCTGAAGAGTAAACTTAATCTTGCTTGTGCTGCTGTCGCCATGAAAAGGGTATAAAACTCTCTCCTCAAGCTTCATTTTTAGTATCTTCAGAGTCTCTAGAGAACTCGCTTGAGCATCAAAACCAAACCTTTTGATCTGTAGAATCGACCCACATGGTTGAGTTTGTGAACCTTATTTTTGTCTCTGAAGTGGATTTTACATTATCTTTCTTAAGATTACACTTTTCATTAGTTGCTTAGTTAATTGATTTGTGGTGTTAATATTGAAACTTGATAGGGATGTTTCATCAAACCTCAGGATACTTCTGGTAGATCTGACAATGGTGGAGCCAGTGCATCAGAACAAGGCTCTCTAGCTTCTTCTAAAGGTTTTACAATGCTCTCATGTTTTTTTGAATTCAGTTAATCGTGCTTTGATGGATTGTGGAAGCAATGACGTGTGTTGATTCCTTTACCTCTATGAGGATGAGCCTTTTAAGATGTTTTTGATAGTTGTTGTGTTTGTTTTCAAGATTTCTTGTAAATGCTTTTTTACAAATCCCAAATACCGCGGTCATGCTAATGGACCAATCTGTATGCAGCTACACCAATGATGAGCAGTGCTATAACAAGTGGATCTGAGCTCTCTGGTGATGAAGAAGAAGCTGATGGTGAAACTAATATGAACCCTACTAATGTTAAACGCGTGAAAAGGTAGTAAATTTACATCCTTTCTTGGATTTAAATATCCTCTCACAAGACAACGTCTTGACTTGAACATGAACATTTGTTTGTTATAGGATGCTCTCTAACAGAGAATCAGCTAGACGGTCCAGAAGAAGAAAGCAAGCACACTTGAGTGAGCTAGAGACACAAGTATGTTAATCTCGCCGCATTCTTATTCTTTCTCCTTAACTTTTTGTAGCTCTATTGTGACAATCTCCATTTTGTTTAGGTTTCACAGCTGCGTGTAGAGAATTCAAAGCTCATGAAGGGTCTCACTGATGTAACTCAGACATTCAATGAGGCATCTGTAGAAAACAGAGTTTTAAAAGCCAATATCGAGACTTTACGAGCAAAGGTAAAATCCATTTTTTCTCTCGGTCTACTCAAACTCGCTTAGCACGGTGTATAAGACTGTTTGTTTTGGCAGGTGAAAATGGCTGAAGAGACTGTGAAGAGACTCACTGGCTTTAACCCAATGTTCCACACTATGCCTCAGATTGTTTCAACTGTTTCTCTTCCTTCAGAGACTTCAAATTCTCTAGAGACCACAAGCAGCCAAGTTACCGCACCAGAGATCATCAGCTCGGGGAACAAAAGCAAGGCCTTGATTGGGTGCAAGATGAACAGAACAGCTTCGATGCGTAGAGTTGAGAGCTTGGAACATCTGCAGAAACGTATTCGAAGCGTTGGGGACCAGTAGCTGCTAAAGAAGAATCTTGATTTGTAAAATTGTCAAGAGAGATGTTAAGACAAATGTTGTATGTTTTTGTAAAGAACTGTTTTCAGATTATTGAACTTTTTTTTTGTCTTTGTTTTAACCCATTTCTTCGTCGATTGTTTGTGTTGAACTTCTAATTCTCATTCATCTCCTACGCTTGCAAGTTTTTACTTTATATACATATCTGTAAAATTTACAAAGTTTTTCTAATTTCTGTTAAGAATTACATGCTTTATATATTTTACCTAGTGAATCTATTGAAATGATGCTGTGGCAACAATTCTTTTTCTTGTCATCTAATTTTATTGATAATACCTTGAAATGATACTTGTGATACAACCTAAAGCCGCCGGAAAACAAGATTTTCCCGGAGTCTAAAGTCCGATGAAAAAAGGCATAACTTATACTAAAAGGTAAGAAGGAATGAAGCAATAGTGAAGGGGACCAAAACTGAAAAAGCCATAAAACATTTATTCCCTTCATAATGAACAAAACAAAACAAAACTACAAGTCACCTAGTTCTTGAAGATCCTTTGAGAGAGAAGTATTGGAGATGCCCACGGCCAACCAACGATACCCAAGTCCTCCTATTGAGATGAACCACTGCCTTCAAAGATCAAAATTCCTAAACTTCCTTACCCATCAAGATAGAACTAATCATAATTCTAATTCTCCAAACTTTCTTCCGGATGCGAGGATGTTAGAGACAAGGTGACAAGAAACGCCCTAGATAGAAGCTTCATGAAAGACAAGACCTCCTTCAGGTCTATATTGCAAAGAAAAGGAGCGAACGATCAAGCCCGGATAACACCAATCTCACAAGACCTAGATCAGGTCTATATTGTAGAGAAATGTTGTGGCACCAATTAAAACATATAATTTTTGTTATTGAAATTAGAAATTATGAGTTCAATCCTAATTTCGGTTTGGTAACGGTGTAGATTTTACGGATTTTCGAATAGTTTGGTATAACTTTTGGTTTTAGGCCGCAATGCTTGTTATTTTTGGATAGTTTGTTAGAATTTCGGGTTTAGAAATAATAGTATCCAAAGTAAAACTTTGAATATGAAGCGTTTTGGTTTGGATTAAGGTTTTTTTCAATGATGCCTTAATTTTTCTTTTAAAATCTGGTTTCAAACAATATTTTTGTTCAAATTCGGATTCGATATATATATATATATATATATATATCTTTAAACTTTATTAAATTATGGTTTAGTTTTCGTATCGATTATTTCTATTTGATTCAGATCGGATTCAACATTTCGAAAAAGAATTAATTCAGATCAGATTAGTATTAATTTTAAATGAAAAAGTACTTAGACCACAAAAACCAAAAATACATGTATTATAAGAGATTTGCAAGTACAAATTTTATATATAGTAGCTAAAACAAGTATTATATTTTTTTAGATGGGAATCTAGATTCCAATAAAGCTGTTGACAAAAAAAAAAAAAAAAAAAAAAAAGATGGGAATCTAGATTATATTGGATAAATAAAACCAAGAAAACAAAAAACACAGATAACATTTAGAACCAGAAGAAGAAAAAAACAAGTAGCAGCAATGGCGACATCTGTTGCGACTCTATCTTCTCCTCCACCAGTATCTCTACCTCTCCTCTCATCATCTCGCTCTTCCTTCTTCTCCAATTGCTTCACAGTCACGACCCGACCAAACAACCGTTCTTTGGTTGCGATTCGACCGAGAATCCGACAGGAACCGACGAGAAAGCGACTCACTTGTAATGCTTTGTTTGGTCTTGGTGTACCTGAGCTTGCTGTGATTGCTGGCGTCGCTGCGTTGCTCTTTGGACCTAAGAAGCTTCCTGAGATTGGCAAGAGTATTGGCAAAACCGTCAAGAGCTTTCAACAGGTTTGCTAAATAGAATTTGGTTTTGAAAAATGAAAATGATTGAGAAAAAGTTGGGAAATTTATGAAATTCTGGAGTTTTGTTGTGGTAAGCATGTTGATTGTTGTTGGAATTTATGTTAAAGGTCAAAAGGAGAAATTTCATGTTTCAGGTGCTTAGTTTTTCCATTAGTTCTGTTTAGATTTGTGAGGAATTGATATGTCACTAGAGAAAAATTGGAAACTGAGTGGTATATGTGACTTTGCTATATCGAGTAAAGAATAAAACATTCATTTGCTTGTAAACAGTAAGTTTCATTGGTAACTTTGCTGTATATTATGAACCAAAACATGTTATGTTAGGTCAAAAGCTTGTTGATTCAGAGAAGATGGTTGAAAAAAGGAGAAAATTTATTCAATTCTGGAGTGTTTTGTGCCAAATCATGTGAATAGCTTGCTGATTGTAGTTGGTATCGATGTAAAATGAATGTGTTTTTGGGGTTTCAATTGCTTAGTTGTTGTGGATTTGTGAGGAACTGAAAAGAACACTCACAAAGATTGGAGAACTTTGCTTTTATAGTGTATGTAGATCAAGAATAGAACATATCGTTAGCTTGTAACAGTAAGGTCATTCATTGACGACTTTGCTGTATAGTGTAGATCAAGCATGTTGTTATGTTAGGTTAATCTGGCAATGTAGCTGTGATTTAATTATTGGAGTGATATTAGTTTCTTCCTTTTTTCGATAAACCTTCTTGTTATTGTTATGGCTCTCATGGGTTGCCTGTTTGTGGTATCTGTGTTCCTTTTATCGTTTTACTTGCATTGATGAAGCCTTGTGTGGTTTGGTATAATGCAGGCTGCAAAAGAGTTCGAGTCTGAGCTTAAGATAGAACCCGAAGATTCTGTTGCAGACTCATCTCAAGTAACAATGAGCAACAAAGAAGAGGAGAAAAAAACTGAGGTTTCTTCAAGCTCAAAGGAGAATGTATGAAGATGAGACTTTATTGTTTACATTTTCCTGTAGCTACAACAATTTTATGTGATGATGAGTTTAGCCTTCTTATGCAAAGTATAATCAGTTTGTGTTTTGAATCTATAAAACTCTCTGAAGTCAAAGCAAATGATTTGCAGAAACTATGAGACTGCACAATCAAAAATTCACATGTAATTCTCTAGTTGAGACCGAGGAAATACAGACTACTCAGTCAACAAATTGTCAAAATTAAGACAAAACAGAATACAAAATTCCTCTCTAAGTTCATGTTTCTGGATTTTACAATTCAGTTTTAGTTCCAGAATCACTGAAGCACAAGACTAATTGTCTATGACTCGCTTGTTCACTGATTAAGCTTCTGTCTCTTGATCCTCTCAAGTGCACCCAGTTTCTTGGCTGCACCGTCTTCGCCAGCTTCTTCATCGTTTTCGTCTCTCTTTCTAGCAAGTCCTCCAAAAACAGCAGCAGGGACTTCTTTCTGAGCGATCTCCACTTGGTCATCTCCATCAGACTCATCATCACTTTCATCGGGAAGCTCGCTGTCTTCTCCATTCCCTGTCACTGGTTTCCCCTCATTCTCACCAGACTGTGAGATAACTCCTGCACTTACAAACCCAACTCTTCTTACGCCATCTTTTGCTGCAGCTGTGGTGGTAGTTGTTGTAGTAGTCAAAAGCTGCCTCTCCAGAGCCGCCATTTCGTCTTCAGGTAAACCGGCTTTCTTCAGCTCGTCTTTTGCATCTTCTACATCTAGCAGCTTGTCCTTTTGCATCATGTTCTCTGGTAGAATGAAATGGGTCTGAAACAAAAATGATCAAATATAATCAGTTTCCAACTCCAAGTCAATAACTACACTAACTGGATTCTCAGAATTGACAAAAAGAGTTGCTTCTTTGAATGCTAAAAACAGTGGAAACTGATGCAAAAGCACCCTAAAGTATTATGCTTTACCCAGGGATCAAAGAGACTAACCTGACTGTAGCTTGCGGAAACACTTCGCTTGATTCGGAGCATTTCTCTGTAGGTATCCTCATTTCCGTGCTGGACCTCGAACTCATGCCACTTGTTCCAGAACTCAGGGTCGGACCTTGGATCTGCAAACTGAGAGGCATACTTATAGAGTGCACGAGCACGATCAATTTCTCCCAAGCTTCTCTCCAGCTCTGCAAATTTTATGCACATGATCTTCACATCCTTGTGTGGAAGCCCAGATTCTATCGCTTGCTCATAAATCTCCCTTGTTCTGGGAACACCAAATATCTCTGCTGCTCGAGAAATGTATATCTCGTACATCTCAAGCTTCTGACCTTCTGGAACTTTTTTGGTAGCTTCCTCATAAACCTTCATGGCTCGCTTGGCCATACCATAATCCTCTTCTAGCTTAGCATACTGAAGGTATAACGTCCTGACAGCATCAGATGGAGCCTGCAAGAGAGATAAAAGACAAGTTAGATCACAATATTTTCACATCAATAGACAAGTTCTCTGAGGAACTGGCCAATTAAAGAAGTTAACTTAGGTGCTTGTTTGATCAGACAAGAAACACAAAAACAGTATTTTTAATCAGGTATGGGGTATAAAGGATAGATGAGCTACCATTGAAACAGCATGCTCAATACAACTCTCTTTGCCCGCTCCAGCTTTGTCTTCCCATATCTCTTGACAAACTTTGTAAGATAGGTTACCCAGATGTCTTTCACATGAGGATACTTGAATATCTTGACACCTCTTTCATACACCTTGAATGCATCTTCAAAGTACTTATTTTCCTCAAGAAGGAAAGCATAATTCAATATAATCTGTGGTGTAGCTATTCTCAAATCCAATATTTTCTCATAGACAGCTCTTGTCGATTCTAACGTCCCCAGACTTTCTTCCAGATCAACATAAAAGGACCAAAGCCTCAAGGATCTATGCAGCTTCATCTGGACTGGTTCATTGCCATCAGCAGCAACTCTTCGTCTGACTTCTACTGTTGGTACAGCTGTAGCACGCCTCATCAGCTCTAGTGCTCCTTTGAAATTCTTGTGTCTCAATTCCATCTCAGCCCACTCACACCACACACTGGCGAGATGATCTACGTTTTTGTAGTTTACTTGGACTGCCTTGTCAAGAATCACTCTTGTGTTGACCAGGTCTTTGTGGTTTTCATACAACTTGGCAAAAGCAACCCACAACGTGTGAGGCTTCCCAACAGCTTTCATAGGATCCACAGTCCTCACTGCTTCTGTGTATGTGAGAATCTGCTTCGCTGCGTTTCCTTCAAATATTTTGACTCTACGATGCCATTGCTCAACATTGTGTGGATTTTGCCTAAGGAGCACACTGTTTGCTAGTGCAGGTCTTCTGTTCATCAGTTCTTCCAAGCGAGCCAATCTCAGATCCACATCATTATCATCATTCAACCAAAACCCATTCAGTATCTTCCTCTGCAGCTCTTTCACCGAAAGATTAAAATTGAGGCGAACATCCTCATCTTCATCCTCTACGCCATTCTCTTCATTCTCATCTTCTTCATCACTTGAACTCATCATCTCCATCTTTTTAGCGACAGTGCTTTCCTCAAACCGTGAATAAACGTCAAATATCACACTAAAATCTCTCACCGTAACAACTTTCATCATACCCTCCTCATAGATATCCCTAGCTTTCTCCAGCAAATTCTTCCTAATGTAATAATCCGCAAGAGAAGTCCACAACATTCCCACTTCATCCGTAAACTTCCTAATACCTCCTCTAATGATAGCATCAACATTAAGACCCGAAATCACATTAGCATGATGCACAAGAAGCTCACACAACTCCATCCACAGCTTATGCTTCGTCTTCCCTTTAATCGAATAAAACTTATCATCATTCAACACAGAAGCTAATCTCTCTGCAGATTCCTGCCAACGCTCTGACTTCACAAGAAACTCAATAAACTCCTCAATATGACTAGGATCATACATAAGATACCTCCTATAAACTCTAAGAGAAGTCTCAATAGGAATCCCATCTTGACTCACAAACACAAGATACGGTTCCCAAATCCTATCATGTTGAGTAACAGGCAAAGCACAAAGCGCACGGTCGAAAGTTCTTCGAGTCCGAGTAATCAATTGCTGAACCGTAAGAGTCTGAAGATACATAACCCAAATCCTAGGCATCTTATGCATAGTAACCAAAGCTCTTTCAAAAGTATTATTGAGAGAATCATACTGAGGATGAGTAACTGGCAAATTCCTAACGATATCGAGTCGTTCTCTAAGATAAGCGTACCACAATTTATAGCTTCCAGGAAGTGCTTTTAAAGCTCTCTCGTAGATGATGAATCTCTTCTTAAATGGCGATTCCGCTTTCGCTATCAAATACCTCCACCATAGCTTTAAGCTGAAGGGATTCCTCAATAACTCTTCCTCATAGAGAAGATCCTCCTGAGAAGGGTATAGATCTTTGGAAATCGCCATATCCTTTAGATCTACAATAGAAAAAAACGAAAAAGAGTAGGGATTTGAGAGCTTGTTTAACGAATCTACAGGGAATTGAGAAAGCTTTGATTAGACTGAGAAGATTTACCTGCGAGACTGTGAGGACCTAATCGCCGGCGATATGGTGAAGAACGGCAAAAACGACGGTGAAGTGTTTTTTTTGTTCTCCGGCGTGAAGGTTTTTTTAGGGTTGAGGAAAGGAGAAGACGATAGTGATTTGATTTTAGCTAAAGTGTTGTTATAAGTTTATTGATATTGTAATATTACGAAATTACCCCCACTCTGGTCCATTCATAAAAAAAGCCCTACCGCAGATTACATGTAAGTTTTAGGCCTCACAAGTTACAAGCCCATCAGAGAAACCTATTGAAGAAGAAACTTTAACTTTATCTTGACTTCATCAAAATCCACGTGTCATTAACTGGGTAAAACCAGAATACGTGTTGGATGAGTTACCAAAGTAATCCGACATCAACCTTTGCCGTCCGAGCACCGATTCCGGTAACGGAATCATCGCCGATAAACATATGAAGCATGGATTCTTCTGGGTTTTTATCGGGGTAAACCAATCGAAGCTCCAATTAGAAATAACAGTTCAAGGCATTATAAATATGCGACGGAAACCACTTTCTTTTCTTCATCTCAAATTGCAAATCTCTGAAACACTTTCTGTAATCGCAAGCTCAAAAGAAAACGCGTCGAATAATACACTTCATTAAGCGATAAATCGCTTAAACCAATACCATCAACACATTCCCGATAAGATTTATTAAAACTTGAAAAGAAATAAAAAAAACCGGATACACCGGGAAGAGAAGTCAAACAACGACTGAGACAAACCCGAAAGCCGGCCAAAACGATACTATGTCAGCCACCGCTGCTGGAGATGTGCCGACCGAGACGATGCTAAGTAAGCCACTGTTGCCGGAAGAAAGCCAGCCAACCCCGCTGAAGGAGCCGGAGATGCCAGACGTGAGCCCGCTATACGGGAAACTATTCGATTCATGTGTCGCCAAATCAAACTAGACGGCAAGCAAAAGTTTGTTCGGGAAGTTTCTCCCTTTCTGAAATATTTTGGAGAGAGAAGAGAGAGACGACATTTTTTTGACCTGATTAAATTTTTTTTTTTTTTTTTTCCTTCCATTCATAAATTAGTAATTGGATTTTGATTTTCGAGATATTTTCCTTTTCTTATAAACGTAAGTTTTAAAAAATCCAAGCTCTACTTCTATTTTATTTGTTTACTTTATAATTTTCCAAGTTTTACTCTCTGACAATAACATCAATGTAAAGAAATTATATTTTATCAGAGATCTTAAGAAACTAAAACAAATTCTAATAAAAATCAAAATCTCCTCCACCAAACATCACACTAAAAATATTACAGTATCACAATTTTTTTTTTTATATAAAAAAACTTCATTTATAAACTTACTAGAAAGCTGAACGATTACAACAGGTTAAAACATAAATCTGCAATAAACAGAAAAGAGATTACAAACTAATCAATTTTGGAAAAATTGAAACCAAGTTGACAGGAAAGAAATAGTAGAAGGAAGATAACAAATGTTGGTAGTCTTGACAAACTTTAGCTTATTAAGATAACAAAAACTAGGATCGGTACTAAGAATATTAGAGAAATTTTGTATACCGAGTGACTCTTAGATTCTAAAATCTGACAAATCAGATACAAGATGTAAGAACTATTTTAAAACCCCAGAAACATTGTTTTAACTTTTAAGTAAACAAAATTTGGTAGTGATTTGGTTTGATAAATTCTCTTAAAAGGTTTTTACATATCAAAATCAGTTTCATCATAAATGTTTTTGTGTAAAACATTCGTCCACTCTCTTTCCTTACTTAATATGATGGTTAAGTTCTAAAAAATCTCTTTCGAGTATCGTTTGACCACTTCCATTTTTCTTTATCCTCAAGTTTTCTCTACGGAAGCAACATGACCACAATCTATAGCGGTCTCTCCATTCAGATTTCCAATTTAGATTTTCTCTCTCCAACTTTCCTCTACGAGAGCAACATCCATAATGTACCTCCATTCAGATTTACACATTAGTTAAGCATCATGTTTGGAACAAAAATATTTCTGTTCGTGGTTATTCTACCACCTTCATCTCACCGCTTCCATCAATCTTTACGTGTAAGCTTCTCTCTGATTGTTTTTCTTGCAAAAAAGTCGAGAACCACATGCTATGGAAAGTCGAAAAAATATTATTCTTAAACAAATTTGATCTTTATTATCAATCAGTCTAGTTGAAACTAAATTTGATATGATACTTTGATTTTATTCATCAATGTATTCTGAAATGAGCAATTGATTTTAACATTGGTTGAAAAAGGGGAAGAAAACAAAGGAGTCGATGATCAAGTTGAAGATTGTCGATTTCATCAATACTTTTAGGCTTCCTGTAAAATTTAAAGTCTTTTTTAATCTCTTTTCTTTTCACGACAGAAACAAGATAATTACAGCTTTGAAATAAAAAATTTAGGTATCAATGGAAAGAAGTAGCCATTGTTTTTGACAAAAAAAATAATTTGTAATCTTCATGAAAATATATATTAAGCAACAAAACCATAAGGTGGACTCAAAAAAAGCAACACATTGAGAGGGCTACCAAGTTTTTGATGACAACCCTAAAGACTTCCAATTGTAAGTTTTTGTCATTTCTTTTTGAGAAAATGTGCTCAAATATACCTTAAAAGTGACTTAATTATTGAGATAACACCCGTGGAGGGGGGTCTTACTCAAATAATACTTAAAAGTTGGCAAAAGTCTTTTAAGCCTCTCTAACTATTTTATTTACATGTTTGCCATTTAGAATTAAAAAAAGAACCGTTAATCGAGATTAACTAAGAAGAGTGAGAAAGTGGAAAAGAGTGTTTGTGTTTGGTTTTTGTGTCGGGAACAACGGTCGGGCCTGAGGGAGAAATTCTGGTAAGATATCCGGTTGTGTTTCAATTAATGAGTTTGAGTTGTTCTGCTATTATGTTAGCAAAAGTATCAAACTGCTATGATTTTATAGTAGAAATCGTTAATTTTTTACAGACGGATCTGTGTACAATTGGCGACGGCGAGGTTACGGCGAAGATACGGCGTCGATTAACGGCGGCGAATGTGGTAAGAATTTCTTAGTTAGCTGTTGAGGGATTTGAGATAGTTAGCTGTTGGAATAATTTTTGAGGGATTTGGATTTGAAATAGTTAGCTGTTGGAATAATTTTAAACCTAATCGTTCTGTTTTGTGATTTATGTTCCGATGGGATAAAGACGTGGATTGATTAATTGATCAAGCGAGTGAAGAAATGGGAGAAGAAGGTAACAAATTATGTATTTGAATTTGGCGGGGTTGATAATCTAATGATAGAAATATGGGATAGAGTTTCTTTGTAAGTATATGTAGTAAAGTTACAAAAGAGAGACATAATGAAGTTGTACTTTGTGCAGTAATTGCGAAGAAGAGCTACCCCAAAAGACTTTATGCTGTAGGGAAAGCACCGATGAAGGGAAGGAGCATGCATATTAACTGCACCTTGGATAGTTTAGCAAGATTGAAAGAGAAGATTGGGGAAGATGCTTACTCTCAGATACGTGATCAGTCTAAAGTGGGAGTATTGTTGAAGCTTGCTGACAGTTCTTTTGTATGGTGGGCAAAGCTTGTGCATCACCTGTTAACTCATCATTGACAATTAGTAGGCCATATGAGATTTGGTGTCTCATTGAAGGTAGTCCAATTAGGTTTTCGCTTCATGAATATGAAGACATAACTGTTTTGAATTGTGCGGAAATTGATGTAGAGGACATAGTGGCGGTTGACCACAGAGAGTTTTGGGGAGATTTAAAGGTGGCTGCAGAGAAGGGGCCAAACTGGAATGAGTTGGAGTCAGCATTAAAAAGTTGTAGGAGTTGGAGTTTACAAAAGAGGAAGATGCTTGGTCTGTTATTCGTGGTGCATGTAGGTATATTGGGGATATCTAGGTCAAGTAGGATACCTTTGGACTATGCCAAGAGAGTGCTTGACACAGAGGCATTTGAGAGATTTCCATGGGGTCGAGTTGGATTTAAGGAGCTTATTACTTCAATAAAAGTTTTGAGTTATGATAGAACTTCATATGCTATCCATGGCTGTCCGCATGTCCTGAATATATGGGCATTTGACAGTATTCCACATCTTGCGAAATCACATGGGAACAAAGTACCGGATGATGGTGATGGCGATGAAGATGAAGATGAACCAGAACCAGTGCCTCTCTTGCAATGGAATGGTGGTCGTCCAAGAATCTGTTTAAAAACTTTCTTTGAGATAGAGAAACTGAGAAAGAAGAAGGTATGTTTGTTCTCCTCAACTTTCATTACCCATATGTAGTTATAACAATTAAATAGCTTATTTATGTCCTCCTCATATAGATCAAGGTGCAGCATTTAGTGGTGAGGCCTGTGGAAGAGATTTATCCTGTTTGGCCTGGAGAGAATGCTGTGTATGGGGAAGGTGTAGGTGCTAATAAGCTGGTGGATAATCTCCTGCATGATATTATTAATGGTGGTTTAAAAGAAAGTGGATTTGGTGACCCGGAGATTGGGAAGAAAACTAGAAAGAGGAAGAAGGAAGTGGACAGTGAGGATGATTTTGTTGACCCACCTAAGAAGAGAAAAGCAGAGACAGAGAAACGCATAAAGAAGAAAGCTAATAGTGGGAAGCAATTAAGAGATGTGAGTGATGATAGTGGGGAAGAGGTTATGGAGGAACAAGGAATGAAGAGACTTTTTAAGATGATAGGCAGTTTGTCTGAAGAAATGAAAACATTGAACACCAATTTCATGGCTGGGCTTGAGAAAGTAGACCTAAAATGCGAAGGGCTGAAGAAGAGTGTGACAGATCTGCAGGATGATGTGGAGAAGCTGAGGAACAAGGCAGAAGAGAAGAATGATGAGATCGAAGAAGATTCTGCAAATGGTTCAGAAGAAGGGACAGGAACCAACGATGAGGTATGATGTGTACATCCTCTATTTAATTAGGAAGCATATGAGGTAAATATACTCTCAAAATTTTCACAAAGAGCCTGTTTTATGTATGTAGAAAACGACAAGTTAGTTGCTTTGGGAGTCACATTTTTCAAGCTTGTGTCTCTTTATTTACTTATGATTCTTGAACTCATTGTTTTTAAAAGTGAACTTGTAAAACATAATTGAGTGGTAAATGGAGACTTAAATGTTAGCATTTGTAATGGTCAAGTTTATGTCTGTTTATTACTTCTGATTTCTGAATCCTGAACTCATTGTTTTTAAAAGTGAACTTGTAAAACAGAATTGGGTGGTTAATGGAGACTTAAATGTTAGCATTTTTAATGGTTATGTTTGTTTAATCTCACTATATATTTGTTGTCTAGATTATTGAACTATGTTTATTTAGTCATGGCATAATCAGGAGAAGCAGACTTCTCAAGAAGGTTATCCCATTTCCGTAGTCGTCAGGAGGGAAAAGGAAAAGGGTAAGGGTAAAAGGAAAGCAGGTTCAAAGAAATCAAAGACAAGAGAATGTGATGACCCAACGAAGACGTCCAAGAAGTTGTTTATGGAGGAAGATTCAGGGAGCATGTCACCTTTGGTAAAGGATCCAAAAGGTGGGTTAATGCGTGACTCTGTAATGCATAATCTGATTGGTGAAACGTCATCTCCTGCTAAACAATTCAAGCCCTTCTCTGAGGCTGATTGGGATAGAAGAGATACAGAATCTTCAGCGGGAGTGATGACTAAGTCGATGTTGCATAATCAGAAGACTTCTCCCCTTGGCAGATGCATAAAAGAGGAACCACCATCACCCAATTGCATTCCTTGATCCCTGGTTTGTGAATCAGTGGGCAGTAGATTACATCAAGTTTGATAAAGACTCCAATTGAAAATTTACTGATAAATATATTGAAGTGTATAATGGGGAATCTCCACCTAATGGAAAGACATACAAGAAGTGGGTAAAGGATATAGATATTCTGTACCTTACTCACAACATTGGGAAAGATCATTGGGTAGCTCTGGAGATAAATTTAAGGACGCGGAGGATCAAAGTGTATGATAGCATCATGTCCTACTACACTGATGTGGAAATTTACGAAGCTTGCAGGCAGTTCACTAGGATGATACCTGCATTGATTCAAGCTATGGCACATGTGGAAGAGAGAAAAAAACTTGGTGCTTCAGCCTTCTCCATCTACAGGGTAAAAACAGCTCCCCAAAACTATCAAACAGGAGATTGTGGCGTATATTCTGTCAAATTCATAGAGTGTTTGGCCATTGGTATTAGCTTTGAGGGTTTGTACGATTCAGCCATGCTTGGTATTCGGTTGAAGCTTGCTGCAGAGGTTTTTGATGAGGTCCCAAATTCCGATTGTTTCATCCAAATTAAAGACCCTCGTGGTGTTGACACCGTAGGTGTAGAGTTCATCTCCCAGAATGACCCTTCTTAATCTAGAGTTAACATGTAGTGTGTGCCGTGTGCAACTTTACAAGGGTGCATATTCGGAATCTTACCCATTAGAGTATGCACCATTGTAATCATGACACTGTATTTTGTTCTACTTTGGTTCTAGTATTTTGTCATGAAACCTACTGGCCCTTAACAGGGAGAACAAACTAGTATCTATTTGTTAGAGATATTTCTTTCATAATTGAGAAACAAGGTTATTAAAGCTTATTAGGAGATAACATTACAACATAATTATATTGTATATTTAAGTGACAGAGTTTTGAAACAGAACAATAGGACAGAGTAGTGGCAATAAATAACAAGACTAATAATTCAGGTACTTGTTTTCATCGGAGTTTAACACATATTAAGAAACCTAACTGCGTAATTAAAGGCAAAGCAATGTTCGTAAATATCAAAATTGGAGGATTGACTAACTTGCAAATCGGACCGAGTTGATCTAAATTAAAATGCCGGTAGAAAACACAAGCACCGGTTGCCCCCATTGATTTGATCTGTAGCTCGACCTGATCTGCAATGAGGAAATCTTTGGTTAGGTCAGTCACCTTATCTAGAAAGGCATCAACGACGTAGTACCCTCTTCTACTGCTCCACAGCAAAGGAGCATCATCCCAAAAGCGAAGAGTGCGTTTAGGTTTAGTGTAGAGGATGCAGCTAACATATCAAGGGCGTCTTGGGATGGACCATCCTGAGTCAGCCTCCGGAGAGATTCCACAAAGAGTGCCGTGATGTTACCCTTCTCATAGCACTTCAGTAAGAATGGCCGAAACATCGAGGTTTCAGCTGCTAGCTCACCATTGTAGATAAATTCACTTAGATCAGTATTTTGTAAGACCTCCCTTGAGTAAACTGCCTCCTTCATAGTGGGTCCTGCAGCAATGAAAGGACCTAGCAAACGAAAACCTTGTTCGCCAATCCGGCTGAGAATGTTAGCTAGAATCGGCAGTGGGAAGCAATCCATTTTTTCCATTAGGGTTTATGTTTGTTTCAAATGCTTTCAACACATCCTCTTACTTACAACGTATATAGATGGGTAAAAATAATCATCTACTTGTGTTTAATAACAGTGGGTGAGAATAGACGTGAGCAGCTGTTCCTTAACTATATCATAAATGCTACCACCTCTGAAATGAGTGGATACAGAGTCACTATGCTGAACTTATAAACATAGCGGACTGAACATGTTAGAAAGATTGTAAATTGTCTTATTCTTGTTATAGATACATTTTACTTTGTGACTATATTTATGTCACTACAGGAAATTTGACTATTGATAGCGCCCGAAAAACGCTACTGTATCATACGATAGCGTTTTGGTAAATGCTGTGTCATCCCCCACGATAAAATGTCTGACACTTTAGATAACGTTTTTAGCATGCTATTTAATGTCGATAAACAATAACGTTCTATGTCCGCGATATTTAAGTGTATACAATAGCGATTATATTTCGCTATTTTTAGTCTATTTATAACATCTTTAATATTACTTATTGTAGCGTTTGTTTTCTGCTATTTGTTTGGATTCCTGAGCAAATATTTTGTTAAACCAAAACGAAAAATGAAGTGAAGAAGAAAACTTATAATAACATTAGTTTTTCAATCCAACAAACCAACATAAACACCACACAATTTCAAGTTCCAACAGAAGCATATAAACTTATAAGCTAGCCAACATAAACACCAATAGTTCAAGTTCCAAGCTAAGAGCCCTAGTTTGTTTCTAACACAATTGTGCTGAACTCAAGACCCTACAATCTTATCAGTAGGCCATGCCACTGTTGTACCTAAAGCATCAGCAACACATTCCACTTCCGCACTTGGTCTCCATACTTTGGCTGTTCCAATCTTTATAATTTTAACCCATACCTTGCTAGAATTAGGTCCTAAGGGTTTACAGTGGACTGTGTCTTCCGGATTGGATGACATGACTATACCTTCTGCAACGATCTCTCCTGAGTTCTCACAGTCCAACAACATGCAGTTGTTAGCAGTGGACTGTGTCTTCTTCTTTCCATTTGATGAGCTGTTAGCGACGCTGCAGCTTATACTCTACCACTCAGAACAAAATTAAAGATCAACTCAAGATCATCATATAACATTTTGACCTAACTTAAAATTCAGTAACTGAAAATTATACCTTAGGTGATGATGCTTTTGGTGATGCTTGTCTTGAAGGTTGAGTATTGATCTTGTTCGTTGGCCAGGCAATATAATCTTGAAGTACATGCTCCATCAAGTATATTTCAGTAGTTGGTCTCCACAGATAAGCATCTTTCTTAACCACCTTCTCAACCTTCACCACTGCAGCATTTGGACCAATAGGAATATCATTAATTACTTCTGTTGGATCAGTAGACCATATATGACCCTCAGCAACTATTTCATTCTCCTCCGCATTACAATCGTAGATGATGATCAGGTCATGTACCTAAGTGAGTCAAAAACAAATATATATCAGAACACGGAATAATAATAATACAGTTTCATAAAAATCAACCAAAATCAAAATTTTACCGATGAATCAGAAGTTTGGTTATCAGTTTCAGAATCAACCATCTTGATTTTGGTTGCTGGCCATGCTATTTTGACTCCCACAGCTTGGGTAAGTGATCCAACAGTTTTAGTTGGCCTCCAGAGAGAAGCATTTTCTACTAGTACAGACCTAACAATGACAACTGATGCATTAGGACCAATTGGAATATCAGCAACCTTGTACATTGGTTCAGACGAACAGTACTCTCCTTCACCGACAACAACCTCCTCTTTTGAGTACCAATCCAGTAGTTGACACCTACGAACATCCTGTCTACAACTACTATCCAGCTCCGAGGTAGAAGAATCATCAGGCTGTTCACAGAAGAAGTTGAATATTAAAACCATACATTGGACTCATCAAGCATTGTTGACCAATGTGAGTTAAAGATTAACTAACCTTCTTCCCAGTAGTCAAGATCTGAAGTTTATTTTTGAGATTTTCAACCTTGTTGAACAATTCCTTCTGCGTTTTCTCAAGCTTATGCACATGTGCATCTCTAGCCTGTAAGAATGCTAGCTTTGTTGCAGTGATCCCTCTGCCCATCCCTCTAACCCTTCCAGGTTTGTCTCTTCCTAACACCTGGCTCACAGCATCCTCTCTAATGCTAGTGCTAGCTGTAGATGCCATTTCACTATCAATAGATTTTATTTTTTCCTGACACAAATGTGAAAACAGAGTTAGTGTGAGTTATACAAAATAAATTACATATATTAATCTTATGTCACTTACAACAGTATCTGCAAATTCTGGTCTCACAGGTCTCCCATCTGAATGAGTGTGTCCTGCTGCCCATACTTTTCTCCTTGACACTTTGCTTGGGTCAGAACTTTTTTTCTTCTGCAGGTAACAAAACTACATCAGCTAGCTATGTGAAAAATAACATCAAATATTAACCTACATACCATATCATCAGCTAGTCGATCTAACCTTATCTTTTACCCACTGTGAGAACCTCTCTACGTGTAATTTCCGTAAAAGAGTTTCACTTTTACGACATCTTACATCCATTGATTGCAATTCCTCAATGTGCATACTGTTATAAAATATCAGAAAGA